CCAGACCGACGACATCAGGGCCTGCCAGGCCGCAGGCGTACGCGTCCTCCTCTCCCTCGGTGGAGAAACCGGCAGCTACAACCTCCCGACCCCCGACTCTGCCCGCCAGGTGGCAGACTACCTGTGGAACGCCTTCTTGGGCGGCAGCTCCGGGCCGAGGCCCCTGGGTCCTGCAGTCCTCGACGGCATCGACTTTGATATCGAGTCCGGCACGGGCCAGAACCTTGACGAGCTGGCACGGGCCCTGTCGGGATACTCGGCCCAGGGGAGAAGGGTTTACCTGTCTGCGGCCCCGCAATGTCCAATCCCGGACGAGCACTTGGACACGGCCATCCAAACTGGACTGTTCGACTTTGTGTGGGTCCAGTTCTACAACAATGCGCAGTGCGATTACAGGAGTGGTGTGGACAATCTGGTGGCTAGGTGGAATCAATGGGCCGATGGGCCGGCCCAGCAGTTGTTCCTGGGCCTGCCGGCGGCAAGGGAGGCGGCCCCGGACGGTGGGTACATGGAAGCGGACGTGCTCGTCTCTCAGGTGCTGCCGAGGATCAGGACGAACCCGAAATACGGAGGGGTGATGCTGTGGAACAGACTTTTCGACCAGGGATATAGTTCGGCTATCCGGGGAAGCCTTTGAAAGACTATATAGATTTGCAGGAACTCAAATAAATATTAAATAAAAAAATAAAATAAGAAATAATAATAATGAAAATAAAATATTCTACTGATGGATTTTTGTGTTTGTGTGTATTGTTATAAGCTTTGGGGTCTGGTTTGGTAGGGAGGAATAAATTTTCGGTATCTGTAATTTTCGTTGCATGTTTTTTTAGGAGGAAATAAATGGATATGAGATAAGCGATTTGATGGGTTGGGTGACTCACTATACAATGAGATGGAAATCCCCGTTTTGTTATGGAGACAACCTTCTATATACAACACGTAAATCATACAATATTAATAAAATTATATAATACTACCTCTTATTTTTAATATATGTCGTTTTGAAAAGTCGCACACTAATTAAAAATATTTTTTTTGTCAATAATAACCTTATTTAATGAAGATAAAGATGAATGTTGAGAAAAAGTGAAGAGTGAATATGAAAAGACGTAATGCATTTATTGACTAAATGGGAGTACTAATGAAAAAATATGTACAAAAGATCCAAAACGACATTTATTTAGTAAATAGTTAAAAAGGCTAGAATGACATATAAAAAAAATAGGAGGGAGTATTATTTAAGTAATCAAAGAATATGATATGTTTACTTGTTTTATATAGAAGGTTGGTTTCACTATAGAGGTAACTGTAAGCTTCATAGCAAAATCGACGAAAATCCATCATAATCATGGGATTTAAAGAACTGAATATATTGCAGAGAAATTTGTCCAAATAATTCAAACCTTGTACGGTCATCAATCACCCAGTCAAGTGTCAAGCAACTAAGAGCATCTTTGTGAATTTTGAGTATGTTAAAAAAATATCATATATCACGTAGGAAATAAACTTGATCTATAATAAAATGTATATTTCAATGCAATTAAAAATGGACATGGTTTAACTTATATAGAAATAATAAAAAAAATTAGATCAAATTTACTATTGAGTCTATTTTGGACTCAAGTACAAACCTAAATAATCAACATTTAATCATAATTTAATTTTTTTTAACAGTGAAAATATATTAGATAATTTTTATTTGCTGACAAGTATTCTAGAGTCTAGACTTAGTATTTAATTTTTGCACTAGATATATTTTAGGTTTTTTTTAATGGGTTTATCCATGTCATTCAATACATATGCTTGGATATAAAAAAATTTGATTTGTTTGAATTTTTTGGTTTGTTTTGGTTAAAATTTAAAAAGGTGATATAGTTAATTATTAGTGAATATATTAAAATAATATTTAAAATAAAATATTTAAAGTTTGTTAGATGTGAAAGTAGAAGAGGGGTGATTTGAAGTGATGGTTAGTTAAAATTATATGAGTGGATGAATAGTGAATTAAAGTTGATGTGGAGTAAAAATGATTGACTGCTTATTTAATTATATTGATAATATTGATGATTGTGAGGTTGAATTAAAGTTGAGTTAAAAATGTTTGAATTTTTTTAAAAAATATCTGTATGCAAGCATCCTCTAAGTCCTTTTATATGTCACATGTAAAATTAAACCCAATGCATTATGAGTTCTAAACCTACTTTTACATTTTTCAACATGACACATCATCCAAAACCTCACTCTTACACTCACATAAACCTCCAATAACATCATAACATTTTTTTTATGGTCCTACATGTTTCCCATTTAATATTATACTTATATTTTTTAAAATATTTTTGAATTTATAACTTCATTTTTTTATACTTTTAATTAATACTTTTACATTTGTAAACTTTAAACCTCCTCTTTTTATAGTAAAACATGTAAAAGTGAGGTTTAAAAACCTCATATAAATCCCTTGATAAAGATGCCCTAAAAGCAACACAAATACAATAAAAACAACTGACAAGCAATGAAACTATTACTCCAAAGGTGGATTACAACTCTCCATAAGAACTACACACCACCTATGAAGAAAAATCTGGGCCGGTTCAAGACCGATCAACCGACCAATTCTGACCGATTTTTGATCGGTTCGGTCACAATCAGTTCGTTCCAGCAAATCAAATCGGTTAATTAACCATTCCCAATTTCAACGCCGGTTAATCCTGTTTTGGTAACCAACGCCGGTTATGTTCTTTTGGTAACCATGTTCTTTTGGTAATCCTCGTGGGTTCATCATTTTTGTGTTTTTTCATCCTACAGCTTAGACACTAACAATATATTGGTGTACCTTTAATAAGCTCTTTTGAGATTTAAGGCCATTTAGTTATTAACCATGGAAGAATCAATAATGGAGTCACTAATGTAATTTTTTAGGTTTAAGCTGCATTACTTATTTTTCAACAGTAAGGCATAACTAAAGGGTAGGATCTAACAAACAGATAGAATAGGATGCATGAGAAAATTTCCTAAACTTCATTCAAATAACATGCTCACTACAAACTGGCCCACTCTCAATAAGGGCAAAATCACATAAAAATTGTTAGACATGAAACCTTATTTCTGTTAAAACAAGTATATAAATTACTACAACAAATTTTCAAAGTTCATAAATAACTAATGCATCCGAAAAATCGAAAACTAATAATTGTAAGGTTAGGCAACTAATGTCCAATCTCGATCGCCATCTAAGCATATGACAAATGCAGACAATGCCGCGAAGAGCAGATGTCCAAAGGCTCTCCTTTTACCTTCTACACTTTCCTGACCTGAATATTATGAGTTGATTGGGACCGCCAGATGGGTTGCCGGCCGCTTTGGACGAGAGCAACCTGTTCGCCTTCTTTCACCATTTCTTGCTTCTGTAGTTTTGGCAGCAGTTTAGTGCTCATAAAACAAAGACTGTTCTACTTATGTTCTAATAATAAAGAATAAACATCATAAAAATTGCGATGTTCAAATCAACTTGTTGGAATTGAACACCATGCATCTATTATGAATCTTTTTTTTTTTTTAATAATGTTATCGATGGTTTAACAACTATAAACTAGTTTAGATGAAAAGTCATACTCGCAACAAATCCAACGCATTGCCAAATGTCTCCTCAGCATCGGCTGAGAACTCCATGTGTATGGGGCAAACCCCCTGGTACAGTGCCAATCGTTGTTGTACTCTTTTCCTGTTGCACAATTGAATTAAGGTGAAAAACAAGTAGTAGCATGAGTTGAGTACCAGACTTAAATAAAGAAACCTTTACATCATTTTACTCTAGTTCTTTTAGATAGTACTGCTACTTCTGATGAGGAATATCAAGTAATTTTATTTAAATATGGGGAATTAACTCTGGATGATCAATTGCAATAGTGTTAGTAGGAATGATTACGAAAAACACTTCTTAGGCTTGACAACTTGACAGAATTAAAATAAAAATAAAAAAGCAACTAATCTTTCAAATTTATCCCCTTGAAAAAAAAATCAGATGCCTCCGGGGTTGTTTTTTTTTCATAAGAAATACCCCCATTGAACATGACATGCATCGCACAGCCTTAAAAGATGATCTTTGCAACATTAAATGCAGGGTACTTCACAAGACTCACTCGTTTGTGAAAGCAAAGATGGTTCCAGATGGCCGGTAATGACTTAACAAAATGGCCATGAAGCCAGTCCTTGTGAAAACAACAATTGACGTCCCAAGTGTGTTGGACATCATAGTTGCATGGTATGCAAACATCTCGCTCATGTGATTCTGCAGTGGAAGTATACGATTCAAAAACAACATTACTGATGTTTACATGTAGGGGTAAATCATAAGAATGTGTACAGATAAACGAAGATCTTCTATACAAATTACTACTCTCACCTTGAAGGCATGTCCAAGATTCAAAGGAGTTTTTGTGCCAACTATAGTGTCTTCAGTTCGCAAAGAGACTGTGTGCATGACCTTGACAGCTTTTAGAGGGAACCTAATATAAAGCGAAATGAGTCCAATCAAATGCACAAAAATATATGTAAGTGAAGAGAATATAGGCATACTATCACAAGTAATAATTACATGTGTGCCCATCAGTTTTGACCAAATTACTTGATTAAAAAAGTCTCTAAACCCACAGAAGATAATACACAAATACCCATTGAGGCAAGGTTTTTTTCTTTTTTAAAAAAAAAAAAAAAAAAAAAAAAA